AGATTGATTTATTCGGCAGCCATTTATAATAGCGATAAATCAATCTTATGATTGGCCATTTGCGAGTCCAATCAGGACTCGTAACACCGGTCGCGCTTCTCTGATAATCTAGGACTCTAGTGCTGGCGTAACAAAAACGAGCGTAAAGTCTATGATTGGCCTAGTTCCTTTACGCCATACGCCGATACGCCGTACGCTGGCTCCATGGGACTTCACCCTCAAAGGATATACTGTGAATTCCTGAACGCAGCCTTGCATAAACATTTCTTGGACAGTATAAAAAAGAATGACTTCACGAACGTGGCACCACAGAACGAGCGTTGGAGGAACGCACTTGTCATCATCTCATCATATCCGGATTTCCCATATCTTTTGTATTTCACCCTGGGATTTTAAAGAAAAAGAAATTTTTTACAATAATTCGAGTATCAAACATGTTCGCACTTTCGAGTTTACACGGTCTCAAGTTTAATGATTACGGTTTTTTATATATGTACATACACGATTATATTACGAATAATTACATATTTGGTTAAAGAATAATGTGGATCTGAAGATAATATTTTGTGAATAAAAATTAAGTACTGCAAACTACATGTGAACAGTGAATCTGATAACTTTGACTACGTAAAATAAAACAGTCTAGTATAACTTTTAAAGACGACGCATTGTGAAGCAAAGTGTAAAATATGTAAGATAATATAAAATTATATCAGATATGTAAAATTTTTAACGAAAATTCATATTTATTCTAAGTACTTAAGTGCATGTAATTATGTGTATGTAATTACATTAACCTTAATTGGTAATTGCTCCAAAGTTTTCTTTCTGGTATTCGCGAATTCAACGTACCGAACTTTAAATTAAAACGTATTTTTGTTTGAAATTAATAATAAAACATTTATTTTAAGCAAATAAAGTTAACATAATTAAACAATTTTTTTCATTTTGAAAGTCGAAATCTGAGAAATAAGATTATGTGACTTAAAATTATGTAGTTTTGAAAAACATTTTTTGTTATAAACAATTTTTCACAATGCCTTTAAATTTGCCACATATTGAAAGAAATATCCACCTTAAATATCAATTAGGGTTAAGTATCTGTTCGAATGTTTTTCCAAACTATTTTTATATACACTATTATTTATGTACTGTAGAAATCTGACTTGAAAAATCGAGTTTTTTTTTGTTGGAAGAACGAGATGCTCGAGAAGTACAACTTGCTTCGTCAGGACTTCCTCAGTATAGCTGAGCCTTTCATTGACAGTGATATCTTAGATCAGCTGAAACGCAATTACGCATATGAAATTGAGTCAATACGTAAATTGAGCCAGGTAAAGGACCTCAAAACATTTATAAGATTATTGGAGAAACGGGATATTATGAGCTGCAGCAATATAGAGCCATTATGGTATATATCAAAGAAGTATATTCACAAGCCTGACTTAGAAACCAAGTTGCAAGATTATGAAAGATGGCTGGAAACTGTACCACCATCATCTTTATGTAACAAGTATCGAAGTGATGAAAGTGAGTTTTTTTTTAAATTAATTAGATGTTATAAATTTGAAGAATTTTTAAGATAACAAAATAGCTTTGATGAGCTTTGTTACATATATAACATCATACAAAATTGATTTGTTTGAGGACTAGATAGTACAGTACGTAAGAATAGGAATAATGTAAAAATGGAAATTTGAAAACTTTTAAAATATGTGTATTTTTAGTAGTTCACTGATGCTTTGTTACAACATGACTTGTTTATTACAAATTAATTTCGAATAATTAATTCATTAATTAAATAATTTAATTAATTACAAATAATTATTTATTATACATTAAAATAATTTGATAATTTAGAACTAATAAATTCTCTCTACAATAGCTTTGGTATCATCATCAGCATCAGCATCAGCATCTACAAGCTCAGAATGCTCAGCATGCAATTCCATGCATAATTTATCTCAGTCGTCAATAGAAAACTCAACTGAATTATTCAGTAATAGTATACAAACATTACATTGTAATCCTGAGCAAGAGGAGCAATACAAACTTTATAAAAGAAGAAAATTATTACAAGAGACAGGTATTTTTAAATTCTTAATATTTACTCTTAAGTTTTAATATTTTTATTTTTTTTGTACAATATATATATATACATATATATATATATATAATTTTTTTTTTTTTAAGTGGTGCTTCAAATCAAGGATAGGCTGGGTCGATCTTGGCGAGATGTAGCTAGACATTTAGGTATTAGAGAATGTGAAATTGATGCTGTACAAAGTAAATATCCTTATGATTTGAAGGAGCAAAGTTATGAGGTAATAATTTATAACAATTTAAATATGTGTGTGCGCACGCGCGCGCTTGTGTATGTATATAGCTAGACCTCTAAAATATAAACTTATTGTTAGATTGAACTTGATATTAAAATAATTTGTTTGCAGATTCTGAAGATTTATCTGTCACAATCTGACACAGAACAATGGGCCATAAATTTAATACGTGCCTTAGAAAAAGGAAGACGGAGAGATCTTAAGGAACTTGTAGAGGAATTAATATTGAAAAATGGAAATTTATGATGTAAATTCAAGATCTTTTTACGTAAATCATATTTATATTATTCTTTTGAATTTGTGCCCTAATTATTTGTCCTATTTATCAATTAAATGTGATATAATTTAACAATGTAAAAATTCGATAAATGTAGATATAGAGTAGGTAATTTAATGTACGGAAGTTGTAGGTGATATAAATAAAAAGATACGGATGCCACAGTACACTTTTTGATATTTATACGAAAATCTCGAGTATAATTGTAGCTTGCACCTTACTATCGTACAGAAGTATTACAAGAGATTACAAGGGTTTATTTGATGTTGAAAAATTAAAGTTGCACAAATTTACATCTAAGCACATATAAATTTATCCTAACCATACAGTCGTATTAACCACGAAAAATACAGCAGCCCGCGCGTATCTCATTAAATTATGTCTGTGTAAGCTATATGTATACTATGTTCCTTAAACTTAAATTTTTATATTAATAATTATATCCATCTATTTCACTTTAATATATGATTTATCTTTATTTAGTCTCTGTCGTTATTACGGAAACATAACTACAATGACGTAAAATGTTTTCAGAGAAACAAAATTTTATTAATTTCTTTTTCAACATAATGCAAATATTTACTTCACACAATTGTATCAAATTAATATCTCATCCGACGAATTTTTGACATTAACATATTTTAATGAACAACTCAGGGGTGATATCATGAATTTAGTGATTACTTAAAGTGTATAAGTATTTTTTGTTTGACTTCCAGCTTTGACCATGGTATCTTTATGTACCTGGTATCCCATAGTCGTTTTAGATGTAATCCTTAATCTTTCCTTCAGTTTCCGGCTAAAAACAAAAGCATAAAAGTAATTGTATCGGCGAGCTCGAAAATTCAAAGAATACAAAAGAGAGTCGCAAAGTAGCTACAATCCCTTACCCAATTTCCATAACACTATCCGCGGAATCTGCATTTGATGTCCAGACACCAAGCTTGTCCCCTTTCGTCCTGACGTTTACTACAGCTCCGCAGACGTCGTCTGAATATTCATTGAAAGCTTCCCCAATCATGCAGAGCAGAATTTCTAACCAAAAATTATCTAGATCCGAAATTCTTTGCTTCTTTTCTAGATTTATTAGCCATCGTCCGCCACACTTGTTCTGATCATCCTCCCACATAGGCCGAATTCCTTGTTTAAACATGCTATAGTCACAACCCTGCCTTAATTCGGAGGCTGTCTTTATGTGGTTGTACAAGCTGTATACAACAAAAAAAAAAGATTTTTCGTTGTAACTCGTGTTCGACAATTCGTAAGTCTCTGACGGCGTATTTTTCACACCGCCGAAGATGGGAGGGAAGGGATAGGGGAAGAAAAGAATAGATATGGATACCTCCAGAAATCCTCAGCTGTATCGAAGCTCGTTATCTCCCGTTGGCTCTCCTCCCATGTTTTATTCCTGTCGGGCTCGTAATACCACAGGGTCCAGGTGTTTTGCAGCGGGTGCTTGATCAAGTATTCGGGCGGGAACTCGCCGGTGCTCGCTACTTCCGTATTCTGCTTCCGATCGATTTCCTGAAAAGAAAAAAAAAAGTATACGTCACTGCTTATCCGAAACACCACGCGAAATCGCGTCGGGACCGCGCTCGACTCCGCATCGACGACACGGCAGGGCAATCATGGACGACGACCTAATGCGTGGCCGCGCTAACCTGTACGACGGATCGCGTGCGCATCGTTTCGCCGGTCCCACGCCGCCTCACGCAATCGCCCCGCGGGGTATTCCTCGGCGTTAACGGCGATTATTTATAAATCGACGACGGGGAAGGAGAGGGGGAAGGGACGGGCGACCAGCGTGGCGAGGCACCTTTTTATTATCGAACGCAAAAGCGCGTCGTGGAATTCGCGGCTCTAGGACACTTTCTACACGGCGAATTCATTCGGTGTAACGTGGTGGTGGAGGAAGAGGAGGGTGAGGGATGCGGAGGGAGAAGGATATGGAAAGGTGTACGGGAAAAATAGTCGGGAGGAATTTCCGTTCCCGCACGAGGATGAAACGTCTCTCCGCGGGCGGCGAGATCGACGTTCCCCCACGTGAGGGTGAATCCACGTCGCGCGGCCTCGTTAAAATACCTCGATTTCTTCCGAAATACTTGTAGCCATGTCACTCTCGTGGTCACTCGCTATACACGCTCGCTCTGGCTTGTCCCGTCGAAGCCGCGAACTGGCAACAAGCTGGCAGCGAAGAAATCTGTCTCAATCTGTCTGTCTAGCCGTAGCGCCCCCGTCAGCACTCCACCACAGTGTGACTCCACTCCACCGTCGGCACCGTCAGAGAGGATCCGAGAGCGGACATGCCGGCCTTTTGGCTGTAACGCTAAAATGCCCTCGCGCACTATCGCCCTCTGAAGAAGTGGATCCAAATTACATAGCAAAATCAAGATTTCTGCACAATTTGTGGTGCGTATCCGTACTAAATCCAATTTTCGAGTCTGCTGGAGCTTTATTCTCGAAAAATTACGCATTAGAAAGTATATTTCCTTACTTTCTAATGCGTAATTTTTCGAAAATTACGCATTGATGGCAAGAGGTCATCAACAAAACCGGAGAATATATCATTAGTTAAAATTCATCCTTTGTATGAAAAAAACTTGTTTCATTTCAGCCTTCAAAAACCGAACGAAGATATGGATCATCCACCCAATAATTAATCAAATTTCAATCTTTAGTTTACATCAATATAATTTTTTATTTTTGG